TATTAATTCAAAATAAATGCATAAATAATTTTGTTCAAATAAATAGCTGTAAAATACTAAATTAGTTTGACTAAAATTTTAAATCCAGGCCGCAATGAGTGCCGAGTAAAAAACAATAATAAATTAAAAAAAATTAAGTAATAATAAGTAATAATAACAATAATATATATGAAATGCATCAATATAGTGTACTATAAACTTTGGTTTTTCGGGGCTGCTGAATCTAGCATCACACAATCCCATCCTTTCTTTAATTTTAACAAGTAAGTAAGGGCTAGGAGAATGGAGTCTTGARTAAAAGTTCTTGCAAATGATGAAAGTTCTCTGAGCGCCATTCTCATGGGAGTGGATAGAAACGATTCTTTTACATATGCCTCAAGCAGCTCAACTTCCGGTCTTAGGCTATGTATTCTCTGGTTAGCCGAAAAACATGCATTTGATGGCGTGCTAAATTGCGAAGGTGAATCATTTCTTACCAGGGTTCTGCGCTGAGTTTGGCACCCGACACGTAAAAAAAAACATCCCCAATGAAAGGATCAAACAGCTTCAGATGAGAGACCCCTTTTAATGTTTTATGGTCGATGACAACATCTAATTAGTGGGCATTACGAGTTTTCGAAAGAAAAGTTCTTGAAAAAGTTGTGGTGGAACGGCTTCTGGAGCTAACGCGGGTTACGTGGTCGGATAGGCAGTATGGGTTCAGGAAAGCATGCATGGTTTCATGTGCTGAATGTTGTTAGGATGAAAGTGAATGGTTATGTTCTTGGCATATCTGTTGACTTTAACGGGGCGTTTAACTACCTAAGCTGGGATCTAGTGGTTGCAATGGTTGGAGGAAGTTGGCTGTCCGGAAATTACTCTTTGGATGAGTTACTTTTCGGACAGAAAGGTCTCTCCAGACGACATGAGTGTAGAGATTGGAGTGGTTGGTGGTCGCAGCGTTTCACCTTTGGTCCATATGGGCAACTAGAGCCACTCTGTWAGTGTTGTGCGTATGCTGACGACCCTCTTCTTCAAGGTCGAAGGTTGCTCGCGGTCTAAGTTAGAGCACCCGGGAGGATAACTCTTAGAGATTGTAAATAATTGGGGTTTAGATGTGGTGGTAGTCATATTGRAGAAAAAACAGTGAYAATGCTGCTTAAGGGCACATTGTCGTCGGTTCGTYCACCGATTGTGAACGGGGTCAGCAACAGGTATGTTTCACTCCACACTTGGTGAATGTGAAGGAGCGAYTGAAGGCAGGGTATGCAAAATACAAACGTATTTAACAGAGTGATTGGGATCTCAGACGTCGTGCTGTTCGCACCATATATCGGGCTTGTTTGTGGGCTGTGACACTTATGGAGCCGCTGTATGGTATGGGAAGCAGCCACAAAAGTTTTGGCGTTGTATGTGCCTGTTTGCCTGTATGTCGCACCGTCTCAACGGATGCTATGTAGGTTCTGTTAGGTGTACTCCTTTTTGACCRGATTGTCATACAGCGTGCTGTTACATTTAGGTGTAAAAAGGTGCTTGAGTGTATCATTGTTGAGAAATGACTGGATTTCTGATGATGATGTGGATATAGAGGGATATCTAWGGAGCAGAAGGCTTCTACACCTGACCGTAGGTGGCAAGACCTGTGAGACAATAGTCCTAAGGGTCSAGTGACTTATGAGTACATTCATGACATTGGGTTTATTGAGGGTAACCCAGACTTCGGATTTTGTCTGTGTCGGGGTTTTCTGCTACCGGGGCATGAGCCTCTGAATGCACTTTTTGCATAGGTCGGGTTGTTTTTGTGGGGCGGAGGTAGAAAATTGGGTGCATGTGCAAGTGCAGAATGCSCGATGTACTCGGACATTTGGGATCTGTATGGTATGGGGATTAGCTGGACGTTTAGATGTTATCTCCACTAGTCGGAAAACCTAACATTTAGGGTCGCTTGCGCGTGAGTTGTATAGGTGGCGAAGGCTTTTAACGGGGAATTAGAGTAAGCTTYTTGTGTAAATGGTGTATGCGTGTAATGTGCGTATRGGGTCCAATCCCTRGTCACCAACCCAGAGCAGTATGGAAGCTCAACKGGYAGTAGTTTCGGCTACGAGGTTTGACCGGTGGACTTAATACTGATACCACGGGGAGCATAACCGCACCACCTGCTCATGCGGGCTGGCCTCTCGAGAAGTATCGTGGTGGTTGTGGTTAAAATTCGAATGCGGGAAGAACTGAAACTTTGTCAGTTGAATTTGGAGTTGCTTTGCAACCGGTTGGCGGACCCAAAATACGTCAGAGGTTTTAGATGGGCCTCGAACCCTACCAATGTAGTTAGTGCGTCCATTGCACACTGCCAATTAGTACTGAAAATGCTAGACTGTAACAGTTGTGTTCAAATTTTCCCGAAAGCATAAATCATATATATCTGTATGTATATTATATAGTATATATATCTGCATGACTTAAACATTCTTATTTTCTAATAATTTTCAACAATATTTCTTAGATAAAGTTTCGAGACAAACATTCTTTTGTGATGCAAGATTAGATCCCCGTAAATTTTTATAGAAATTACAACAAAAAATAAAGCATATAAAWATTTTAATAAATAAAACATATAACATCGTAGACGATTAAAATGTACGATTCGTAAAAAATTATCGCAGAAGAATTATAATCATAAGTAGTATAGTTTACAGCTAGAGAAGCTTTTCAGTTTTAGTACTAATAGTTAAAAATAGGTACAAGTAATACGAGTATGTATAAGTAGATATGGTGCAGGAACTTAGCGACTTAGTAAAATTTGTGACGCGAGTTAAAATTTTTTTAATGCAAATTGTGCTAATATTTGTTTTAGATTTGTTACATAGTGTAAGCACGTGCAGCTAAAGAAAATGAATGCAGATATATTAATGAATATGAGTTTCCAACTGGAAGTTTCAGCTTCCTACCTAGAGGCACGAGTAGGATAATATTCGACCAAATCGGCCACGTCCAGCACGCAGTGAAGAAAATATAGCAGCTGTAGCTAGGAGTATAAACGAACCCCATGGAGAGTGGAAAAAAAAATTTTTCAAGAAATAAATGCCAAAGAATGTTCTTTCGAATAATAATAAAAAGTAGGAAACCCAGATAGCGAGAGTTGAAGAGGGAGCAAGACGCATTTGCAGACAGAAAAAGAAAGAGGCCGAAATGCGTGAGTACGAAGAGCTTGATAAGCTGGTCGCCAGGGGTAATGCTCGAAAATTTTAAGAAAAAATGCGGCGACTAACAGAAGGTTTCAGGCCCGGAGTGTGCTCTTGTAGAACCCCCAAAGGTGAAGGGAACACTTCTCCAGCCTGTTGAATGGCAGTAAACGTACAACGCCAGGAGAAGGCGAACCCGATTCCCCAATCGATGACGATGGAGCAGACGCTCCTTTGCAARACCAGGAAGAAGTTCGAATAGCAATTACCCGCCTGAAGAACAACAAAGCGGCGGGGGCCGATGGATTGCCGGCCGAGCTATTCAAACACGGCGGCGAAGAACTGATAAGGAGCATGCATCAGTTTCTTTGTAAAATATGGTGGGACGAAAGCATGCGAAAGAATTGGAATTTAAGTGTGCTCTGCCCAATCCACAAAAGGGGGGATCCCACAATCTGCGCCAAATACCGTGAGATAAGCCTCCTCAACATCGCGTATAAGGTTCTATCGAGGGTGTGAAARATTAARGTCCASCGTCAAMAAACAGGAAAAGACCCGTGAAAGGCGAATCGACACACACCACCTGTTCGTCGATTCCTAAGCTGTTTTCGACAGCACGGAAAGGAGCTGCCTTTATGCCGCGATGTCTGAATTTGGTATCCCCACAAAAGTAATATGGCTGAGCAATCTGACGTTGAACAATACCAAAAGCTCCATCAGGATCAGGAAGGACCTATACAAGCCGTTCGATACCAAACGAGGTTTCAGACAAGACGACGCTCTATCGTGCAACTTMTTCAACCTGCTGATGGAGGAAATAATTCGAGCTGCAGAGCTTAATCGAGCAGGTACAATACTTTAAAAGAGTGTACAGCTGCTGGCGTATGCCGATAATATTGATATCATGCCGTAAGTTCTGCTTTCTCCACACTGTGCAAGGAAGCAAAGCAAATGGGTCTGGCAGTTAACGAAAAAGGAAACCTTGAAATGGATCACCGTTTAAAACGGTCAGACAGATCCATTAAAGGAAAAGGAATTAAAGGAATCAGTAAAGGAGAGCAGGTGGGGGTGGGTACAATTTCTCTTGAACTCTTAGTTTTCAGGCGGACCCGGAGCTCTGTAAAAAACTAAAATCTCTCCCGCGTCTCGGTTCTCGCTCTTTGACTCTGTTAGTTTCTTAACTGTCAAGTCAAAACTTACAAATTTTACAAGCATGCTTCCAGATATACTATACAATACTTCCAGTTGGATTTTTTTTTTTAATTTTCGTTTACTTTTTGTCTAATTTCCTATAAAACGTGATAAATTGATGGCGTCTAGTCGTGCTTATGTGTTAGGTTAGTGTGCATTWGTAAGACCACATGGATGATTTTTTACACTTAAGTAATTTCAATTAGTAACTTTAAAAGCTTACAAGTTAAATATATGTATAACAAAAACAAAAACATAGCGTTTGATACACTCAAAGCATKACACATGGCGACGCACACATACAAGCGCACTTACTACACACACACATATTATAAAATATGCTTTCTTTCTTTTTTTTTGTTTTTGAATTATTTTTGGTTATTATTCTTCTCACACACAGACACACGTGCACACATTTGCTGGTGAGTGTTATGCATGTGTACTTGTACTGTTATTAATATTTTTACTTATTGTTTTTGGTTTTACTTTTACTTTTAGTTTGTTTTTGCTTTCACTTTTGTTGTTTTGTATTACAGCTAAATTCGATGCTGGTGGTTAAGTTGTTCAATTTCTTCGTTTGCCGGTCAAAAGTTTTCTACTTTAACCCTACATTTAAGCTAAAATCAAACTTTCAACACAGTTACGCACATACATATACATATCTGATGTAAATGCCACTGTGGGTCCTTGTTCTCGGCATACTTATACTTGTCCCAATCCCTGCTGTACATAAGTATTGCAGAATTCTTCATTTATGTCTTCTACATGTTTTTACCCGTTCTTTCACTTGTTCATAAAATTAAAATCTGGACTTACTTTGTACATCCCCTTTTCTTACATTTGTGTTGGCTGCTTAGGTTCATTCCTTTGCTGTGTGGTAAAACTTTTCAGGTTTTAAAAACATTTTTTGAAGAAATTTAGAAAACGAAAGACTCGCGCGAATAATGTCGGATGTCGGCYACGTTGGCTGGTTGTTATTCATGCAGCTGAAAAGAGGTGCGAGATGTGTTCATCATTAGTATAGAGAAAGAAATCTTAAATTTTGGACTTAAAATACATAGCATTTTATATACACAGCAAGCAACACATATAAACACACAGAGACACGAAAAAGAGTTTTCAAGCGCTTTAAAGCATACAAATTGAAAAGAAAAAAACTATTGAAAAGAAAAACTCAAAACAAATTAGTAAATTGAGGCGTTGGTCCAGCATGTAGTGAAGAAAATATAGTAGTCGTAATTGATAGTGTACACGAAGGCCGTGGAAAGTCGATTYGGCGTCGTTCGCAGCAACTCGGACTGACGTAAAGAGGACTTGGCGCATTTTACGTCGAGATCTTAAGTTGTAAGCGTACAAAATATAGCTTGAGCCACAACTGCAGCCGCTCGACCTTCCCAAGCGATAACGTTTCGCTCTTTGAGCTCTTGAAAGGTTCCAAGAAGTTCCATTTCTGGCTCAATGGGTATGTAAACAAGAAAAATTTACGCATTTGGGACGAAAAGCAACATAAAGATATCCAAGAGATGCTATTTTATCWAGCTGTTATTTGTGGGGCATCGGTCCATATTGCTTCAAAAATGATGCCGGTGGGAACGTAACCGTCAATGGCGACCGTTATCACGCCATGTTAACAGCCTATTTGATGCATGAAATTGACGTTCGTGATCTCGTCAACATTGGGTTTCAACAAGATGAAGCCATTTCCCACACATCGCCACAATCAATGGATTTATTGAGCGAACACTTCCGTGTTAGACTTTTTCCTCTGAGTATATGTGAAGTCCAAAGTCTATGCGTACAATCCCGCTTCGATTCAGGCCTTGTAGCAAAGTTACCAGTCGAAATAGTTGAACGTGTCATCGAAAATTGGACTCAACGGAAGGATCATCTTAGACGTAACCATAACCAACATTTAAAAGAWATAATCTTCAAAAAATAAATGCCAAAGAATGTTCTTTCGAATGAAAATAAGCATTAAACTGATATTGCAAGATCRTCATGAGACCTACGGCGMGATAGAAATTATACACATTAGTGGAACCAGCTTACATTCAATCTTGAATGAATCAAACAATCGCTCAAAAAAAGTGATGGAGAGAAATGTTAAAAAGCTACGRTAGYGATGTTTCGAAACATGTCTATGACATCCTATACATTRACTGAAACATCTGCGTTTTTGAGCACTAAAAACATCGATTTGATGAGTCTTCCGTACAGTCCTCGCTTGACATTTTGACTTCTTTTTACTCTCGTACGTAAAAAATAAACCAAGAGTTCAGCGAATTAAGAGCTGGCTGGGTCATGTCGTTCGTATGAATCGAAACACTCCARCTCTGAAAGTATTCGACGCAGTACCCGCCGGGGAAAGCAGAAGAAGAGGAAGCGRTGTCTACGTCAATTTAAGAAGAATTACTTTTGCTGAACTACTTACAGAATACATCCAATAGCGACAATTTTGACGAAGCCATTAAGCCAGAAACGRACTGTAACTGAGAAGATGATTTTTCGATGAACGTGAATATGCATAATAGTCTTGGATAATCTCCAAGCGGGTTACCAAAGTGAAAAGTGACATGATGAAATGGCAAACCATACTGAACACATTGACAAAATTTGAAAAAAATCCGTAAAAGAAAATGGGCGACACGAGCTGTCAAAATCACGGGCTCTTGAAAAGATCCAAGAAGATACGACGTTTTCGAGCCAAGCCRAAAAGCAAACTGAAGAGATTCAAAAGCTGCTATTTTATCCGGAAAAAACAGCGGTTTGGTGTTTTTTTATGAGCCGGAGGAATCAAAGTATACAAAGAACTATTATATACGTCGAAATATATACATATATGTATATGGTATATTTCCATTTACAGGCGCATGCAAAAAAAAAAACCTTATAAATTAAAAAAGAGTTGGATGCTGAGAAAAATAAAATAAATTTACAAAAACCATAACAAATGCAACACTGCATGCAAAAAGTAGCTCAGCAACTCAATAGACACACTTAGCATAAAAACAAAACCAAAAAGAGTTTTTTGAATTGCTACCGAATATTGAAAGAAAGAGATAAAGTATGAGTATAGATGTAAGTCTTTTTGTAGAGTCATAGTTGCAGTACAAGGCAAAAGAAGCACAAATATTTAGAAGAAAAACGTAAGAAATCTTTATAGTACAGAGGTACTGAARAAACACTTGAATTAATTGCATTATAGTTTTGGTGCCGCTTACCAAACTTACTCTGTCTCTCTCTTTTTAGTTGATTGTGTGAGCGCGTGCTTCTAATTATGAATTGTCTTATTTCTATTGTAGTTTGGCATCAGCTATTTTATATTTTGGTGAGTCTTACAGTGTCTCGATTCAATGTCTGTGTTTTTGAAGTGGGTTGGCAAGATTTCTCGAGAACTACTCAATCGATCTTCATGAAATTTTACACAGGTCTTTGAGATACAACTCTTAAAGGCTTGGACGAAGGATTTATTTTCGATTATGTGAAAAAAATTTCGCGAAATTTTATTTTTTTTGTAAAAATGTCTGCAAAACCAATTTTCAGTTTTTTTTTCTTCGTCTAGGTTTTAACTAAAACACGTCTTTTTTACTTTAGATGATCCTGTAAGGAGTTATCCTGCCAACGCGTGTGCATCTTTTTTACGAAGGGTCACCGGAAATAGCCTTGCAATGGCTGAGTTTAAAATATTTTTTCCAAAAATTTCGGAATTTCCTTACTAATAGTGTATGTTTGTARCAGTAAAAAAATTCTAATAAAATATTTCAATTTTATTTGAGAAAAAATAATTGAAAAAATGCTGTTTTTTACCCGAGGAAACCCATGCAACCAACTCCTTAATATATTTGAGACGGTGAGGTTTATTAAAAAATTTTGAGAGGCCTTATTGTAGGGCATTCAATTTGCTACAAAATCCATGAATCGAGATATGTTTTCAAGCAGTTGGAAGCGAGATATGAATTTTCCATCTGATAATAAGAAATAAAAAAAATGGAAAACTGTAACTACTATAAGGAGCTCATACTTGAAGAGATTTTCTTAGTGTTGTCTAAAAACGTATTTGTCAAAGTACCAAGTTAAAATAATGTGCCAAATAATTTATTTCGCATGGGAATCGAATTYGATATGGAAAGAGTTTTCGATCGAAAATTTTCATGCTTTCACTGACCTACCTTATCATAACACTACTGTGAGTAAAAAATAGTAGGACTTTTTCAAATCGCTCGCAACGGCAAGTTTTTCRATCGAAACCGATTCAATGATTAGATACAATATTATATTTGAGCATATAGTATTCGACGAAAATTCGATGYTGATCCGGCAAGTTTAGTTTCGGAGGTTTGAACGGATTTTTTAATTTAATGGAATTGGCTTATCTTTRAAACAGTTTTTTCGGAAGTCAGTGAGGAAATTTTCTCCGAAAGGCCGCGACCGATCAAAGGATCGAATAATTAAATTTTTGTTAATTACTTCGATTTTTTAAACTTCACTGAAATGTTTTTACCAAATACA